AGTGTGTGTTGGAGAAAACAAACTCAAATGTAATATTGACTTTTCATGCCTAAAATATTGCAAAGTACAGTATAACTCTTTGATGCAGATTAAGACATTGGCTAACAAATCATTCCTGTGTGTCTATTTAAATAGAAAATGCATGTCTATATTTAGTGCATTAAATCATTCAAATATTCATTTCAAATTTGGACTATCACATTAAAACTAGTAGGTTTGATTTCTTCAAGTCTCTCCTTTTTCCAGCATTGCTTTAGCTATTCAGGAGCTCTTGAATTCCCACATGAGTAAGTTAGGGACCTTTTGGTAACTTTTAGGAGAAAAACAAACTGGCATTTTAGTAAGAATTCCATTAAGTTGTAAACCAGTCTGAGGGTGATCTTTGTAATACAGAGCCTTCCAGTCCATGTGCACTTTCTTCTTCCATAGGCCTTCTAGAATTTCCTTTATGCTTTCGAGTCTGCTGTAAGAAGTTCATCTACGTATCTGTCTGCTTCTTTTCTTTTTCTTTTTCTTTTTTTTCTTTTTTTTGGTTTTACGAGTCAGGGTTTCTCTGTATTTTTTTGGAGGCTGTTGGTCCAGCCTGGCCTCGAACTCACAGAGATCTGCCTGCCTCTGCCTCCCGAGTGCTGGGATTAAAGGTGTGCGCCACCAACGCCCGGCTGTCTGCTTCTTTTCTAAGCATCTTGCTTCTTTTGGTTCCGAAGGACTTTTTCTTCACCCTCAGTTTGGTCAGCTGTAGCATCCACAGAGAGCTGCTTTTAGGATGACAACCCTTTATTCTACCAACTTGTCAAATTTGTTCATCAATGTTCAATTGCTTGCAGGGTACTTAAGATTTTTGTATATGCAAAGCGACACCAAAGAAATCTGTGTTTTCTCTTTCTAACTAGAGGGTTTCATAAGATGTTTCTCTGTGTTTATCACGATGATTGTGTGGCTTTGGCATTCATTTGTGCTTAAGTGAGATTTCAGGGTTGATATTTGTATGCTGAACCAGTTTTGACCTGGATAAATCTTTCGCAGTTAGGATGTAACATCTCATCTGTTATTGGTGACAGTTTGCCAGTGTTTTCTTGAGAATTCTCACAGCAGCATCGATTAAGCAAATGGATATGCAGTTTTCTTTCCTTGCCTGGTTTTGTCACAGTTTGCTGCCAGAGAATGAGTTGATAGGTAGTTGCTGCTCTGATATTTGCTATTAGAGCAGTGCCGTTAGATATATGGCTTTGCAATGAGGAAATTGCCTTTAGAATAGCGAATTTATGTTACTTTATCACTGGAGCCTAAATATAGCAACTGTTTATTTAGAATAGGAATTTTGGAATGTGTCTTAATGTGTTGGTCATCAGTACATTTATTGCCAATATCAAGCTTGAAAGCTTTTCCATGTATGTAGTTTAGTTGTTGTTGTTGTTTTGAGACAGACTCTCTATGCAGTCCTGTCAGTTCTGAAACTCCCTGTATAAATCAGACTGGCCTCAAACTCACAGAGGTCCACCTGCTTCTGTCTGCAAAGGTCTGGGGATTAAAGGCGTGTGCCATCATGCAAGGCTTTCCGTATTGTTTTCACCCATCAATTACTTTATAAATATATTCTCACAGGGACTCAGTTCTAGCACCTTAACAGACACCATAACAGCAATGAAGTAGATATCCTCTAAGATATTGACTTCATAAAGCAAATGCAGAATTGTAAGTCCAAAGGCTGATTGAGCCTTGCTCAAACACAACTTTAAGAGTGAAATAGAACCTCTACCCATGTGTGACAAAGTTGAGCAAACCCTCTTAATTAAGGCTCGAATCTCCTGAAACCACGAGATCTCTAACCTCTCTTTTAAAGACCATTAAAGCAAGGGCAGTAGGAAGGAACTTCCTAAAGAAAGAAAGAAGCTGATTAAAAACGTCATCACTGAGGATGACTAAGGCCATGGGAAAAAAATGACTGGACTGGTTCAGTTTTGTTCTCTTCCTAGGACATAGAGATTCGTAACCACATGGAGACACTGCAAGTGAAAAATATTTGGTTTGGTCAATCAAAAGTAGGAAATGCCAATTGTGAAGTACTAGTTACTATGAAAATATCCCAAGAGGAATTTTTGAAAAAGAACATAAGAACTACAAAAATAATATAGTGTATTACATGACTCTTGAGTTCTGGAATAGTAAATATCAGAACTTGATGGATAAATGAAATAATATAAAATAAAATGAGACTTATAAGTTCTCTGATTTTGTGAAAATCAAGTGTGGAAGGAAAAGAGATTTACATATAATGACCAAAACCTGGATGATCCCGCACTTGTAATCAACAGTACTGAATAACAGAAGAGCAGTAGAAAAATACTTTCATTCTTAAGTATACAATTAACCAAGCTGTTGTGATGGACTAAAATTGGACAGTGAGTTTTCAAGAACGTGATTAAATTTCTGAATTTATGTCCTTATAGAAAAAAGAGGGATCGTATATACTGTATGAAATTATGTTTTGAAAATGAATGATTGAATCGCTATTTTGAAATTTTCACTTAATTTTGATGTTGTAAAGACTAACCAAGGGTTATAAACACCAATTAGAGACCAAAGAAATTAAACAGAGATTCCTGAAAGTTAATTGCATGACCAAAAAAATCTTGTATTTTTTCCCATCCCTAAAATTAAAGACACCAATGAGCTCAATTTGGAAGCAAATTAGAGATTATTTTGCTCTTCTCTGAGTTTCCAGAGATTTAAATTAAAACCTAGCTCCATAGAGATTGGTGCTATCCTTACAAGATTAAATTATTATTCCCTTTTATGAATATGCATTGCTCTTTTGAAATTCAATGTGTATGTAATTTTGAGATAAAGCTTCAAGTCCTCACAAAATTCAATCATTTCCTAAATGCTTCAAATTAGTTATTCAATGAACATAAACTGAGCACCTGGTTTGAATTTGTGGTATGTACTACAAGCTCAACTATAAGAAAAACCAAAAGAGCACTTTCAGTTTATTTAGTGTCTGCTGAAGTTACTTAACAGTAAGAGGACTCTACTTTTGTTTAATTTTGTTTTCTCTTCAATCACTGAAATATCAGTAATACCATCTTGTACATAAAAGGTAGTAACCTTATTACTAGAGAACTGACAAAGTCATCTCTCTTGCTGATTTCAGACTTGCAGTTTGTAAAGTGCCCTAAACTGCAGCAGAAGCTGGTACTATACATATAGTACCTCCCCTGTCTTAGTTATGATTTCTATTGTTGTGAAGAGACACCATGACTGTGGTGACTATTATAAAGGAAACATTTACATTTAATGCAGCTCACAGTTTCAGAGGCTTAGTCCATTGTTATCAAGGCAAGGAGCTCGGCAGTGTGTAAGCAGACATGGTGCTGGCCACATCTTGATCAGAAGGCAGCAGGAGGTGGACTGAGTGTTACATTGAGCGAGGTTTGAGCAAAAGAGGCCTCAAAGCCCACTCCCACAGTGACACACTTCCTTCAACTAGGGGATGCCTCCCAATAGTTCCCTCCCTATGAGCTCATGGGGGCTAATTACATTCAAACTTCCACAGCCCTCAAGTCCTGCACTTAATAAAAGTATCCACCTTTGGAACCAGGCATGGTAGTACACTTACAAACCCAGGCTTCAGGAGCAGAGTTGGATGCCAGCCTAGGCAACACAGAGAGAACCGAACAAGAACCTATCTCAAAAATAATAGCAGTAGTTTGGGGAAGCAATTCAAATAAATGGTTAGGAAGTTTCTATCTGCTCCAAAATACAAATAACTTTGAACCAAGATTTATTTTTTTCTTCAAATTCAGTCCAGATTATTTTGTTGGAAATTTTCTGTCCACTTTGTCAACAATCTGTAAATATAGGATATCCATAAGTTAAATTGCTAATAGGATCTGAGACTGGGGATTACCTTAGTGATAAAAGGTGTAACTTGTACACCATGAATCCAGCCTTTGGACATACACACACATGTGTGTGTCTACCCCTACTGGTAGTATCTAATCCTTTTTCTTCAAGCTGTAAATGGATCATCAGCATATAGCCCTTTCCACTCTAGTGTGATGTAATATACTATAGTACCTCTCAAAAATAATTGTCATATGTGAATTACAGAATTTCCAAGACATTGCAGAGACCTATAAAAAGACAAAAAACTAATTAAAATCTTCATATGAATTATTTAGGCTGAACAGAAAGATTTTTTCTGATTATTGAAAATTCATGCTTTTTATTCTGGGAAGCATCCTGCTTGGCAAGTGGTTTGCCACTCCCAAAGTCATTTAAATGTGATTATAAGTATACATCTACAGATGCTGATGACTGTTACTGTGTCAATACTAAATTCTTATCTTTCCAGGATTTTCAAAACCATTTTCAGTTTTTTTGTTTTATCAAGACAGGATTTCTCTGTGTAAACCTGGCTAGTCCTGTAACTCACTCTGTAGACCAAGCTGGCTTCAAACTCATAGAGATCCACCTGCCACTGCCTCCTAAGTGCTGGGATTAAAGACGTGTGCCACCACCGCCCAGGTCGTTTTCAATATTTGATAAATTCAATTGTTTTTCTTGTAGACAGTAACATTCAAATACTAGATAGATATATCTGAATGATAAAACATGAAAAGTGATTTTTAAATAAATATGCTGAAGGAAATAATTGTTTGTTGTGTAAAACTTAAAAAATGGATTCAAAATAGGCATATTCTTTGGTTTTGATTGCTTCCATGTGGTATTTTTAGTTGTAGAAGAATATAAACTTCCCTATTTATACTGTTTTCCTACTATAAATTCCTGTGTTGTACACTTATTACAATGTTGTAGGAAGAACACTGACATGGATTGATAGATTTCGTTCCCAATACTCCTACTTCATGACAGGTTGATAGTGGAAGAAAGGAATTTATTGATAGGACTCAATGGAAATGTTTCCCCTGTCACCCTATTTATGGCAAGTAAGTATTAATAATAAAAAGACTTAACAATTAAAAGCCATTCATCTGCACATTTTGTTGAAAGTTTAATGTACCCTCATTTATATCCAGCATTTACAAATCAACATAACACATGCCTCATCAGGTAGCTCCCACACAAAGTGAAAGCAAACTCAGTCACTTGGAATGGCTTAGGTCAAGCAACATTATTTATGGTACATTTTAGAAGCAATATTGGCCTGTACATAAGCAAATAAGGTCTTGAACTACTGATTGTGACCATCAGCAAAGATCATTTTAACAACACACTACTTCTGTATGTATGAAAGATGTAAACCTATGACAGATGACTGTGTTATGCACACACTTCATTAGCTGTACACAATGGTGTGTTACCATTATAACAGAAGTGTGAGTGAGGAAAACACATGCCTGGGTAAAGGAGTTACTTTATTGACACATCAATAATGAAAATGTCATTTTCAGGGACATGGAACTGCAGATCATTTAAGCTAAATAATCACCCTCTAAAAGACAAGAAGCCCGTGAAAGCAAACAGGCATTGGGAGGGTGATGGGAATTGCTATCAAGGGTTAGCATGCATAGCTCTGAAAATGTCGCAGTGAACGCCGTACAATGCACAGTTAACAAGCTGTGGTGAAAGTGAAAATCAACATGAATACTACACAGCAAGTTATATGAATAGCCTCAACAGGATACAATTTGAAGTGAGTGTTGAAGAAATACATCCTCTCAATAATGAAGAGAAAGAAATGAGATCTTAAGAACACTAATTCAAATGACCAGAGAATACAGCAGCTATATATCCCCCTCCCGAGTTAGTGAACAATAAAGATGCATTATTGTTCACTAACTAACAGGAGCCCCAGGACCCAAAAAGAAAAAAACACACCAATATAAAAAACAGAATAAAATCAACATAGAAATATGTAGACTCAAGGAAAGATTATTTAATGCAAATGTAAATATTAATAGCCAAGCAACTAATCCTGATTCGGTTATTGAAACCTCGGGCTCTCAGACACTGGAACTTACCTACAGATCCCGAGCAGATTATTGGGAATAATGGGGTTAAAGAATTTGAAGTCTGTGGTTCTAGAGTCTCCAGTAAGGCACACCTCATACTGGTAGCTCTGAGCCAGGGTTCCTGTGCCACTGACTTCCGCCAGGTGACCAGGAAAGTATCCCTCAGGCACAGAGCAGCCACCCAGTGAGGTCTGCCTGAGCCTCCTGCACAGCCTCACCCCCACGAACAGCAGCACAGATAAGAGGAAGAGTGAAGACACAGATGCCAAGGCGATGACCAGGTACAGTGTGAGTGAGTCTTTGTCCTGTGTGAGGTCGTGCGCCGCCTTGGGCACAGGCAGGTAGGGCTGAGAGAAGCCATCCACCAGCAGCACATGCAGAGTGACACTGGCAGACCTGGGAGGGTCGCCATTGTCCTTGACAAGCAGCAGCAGCCTGTGCTTGGGAGCATCGTGCTCACTCAGCAGCCTGGAGGTGCGCACCTCGCCATTGTGAGCCCACACGCTGAACAGCCCTGGCTCTGTGGCCTTGAGCAGCTGGAATGACAGCCAGGAGTTCTGGCCAGAGTCGCGGTCCACTGCCACCACCTTGGTGACCAGGTATCCTGGCTCCGCCGCCCTGGGCAGCAGCTCTGTGCAGGGCGCAGATGCGTTCTGCAGCGGGTAGAGCACGAAGGGCGCATTGTCGTTGGCGTCCAGCACGAGCACGCGCACCAGAGCCTGGCTGCTGAGAGCGGGCGAGCCTTGGTCTGTGGCGCCCACGCGGAACTCGAAGGTCTGCAGGGCCTCATAGTCCAGCGCCCTGAGCGCAAACAGCTGCCCGTTGTCGGCATTGATGGAGATGAGCGAGTCCAGGGCCAGCTGCGGGTAGTGGCTGGGCAGCAGCGAGTAGGTGATGCGGGCATTGGAGCCTGAGTCTGAGTCTGTGGCGCTGATGGTGCCTATGTGCAGGGCAGGGCTGTTGTTCTCCTGGACAAACAGGGTGTAGGAGGTTTGTGTGAAGGCGGGGGCGTTGTCGTTGACGTCAGACACCTGCACTGTTATGGTGTGCTGGGTTGTGAGCCTGGGTGTGCCCAGGTCGGTGACTGTGATAGTGATGTTGTACTCAGCTCTGCTCTCTCTGTCCAGTGCTCCCTCTGTCACTAAAGTGTAGTAATTCTCGAATGTGGGCTTCAAAAGAAATGGAAGATCATTCTGAATGGAACACACCATCCTTCCACTGTCCCCGAAATCTGGGTCAGAAACACTGAAGACAGCGACTACAGCCTCAGGAGCATTTTCTGGGATTGAAGCAGTGAGCGAAGATATGGTGAGTTTAGGAGCATTGTCATTCACATCCAACACCTGAATAGTTACACTGCATTTTCCTGAAAGGCCTCCACTGTCTGTGGCTATAATTTCCATGTTATAGTAGGGTGTTGACTCAAAGTCCAAAGCCCCTTTAAGACGGATTTCTCCTGTGACCTCGTCTATTACAAACGGTTGAGAAGCTCCACCACCTTGAAACAGAGAGTAGACTACATTCCCATGTATCCCAGCATCTAAATCCCTGGCAGAGACCGCGACAACTAAGGCACCAAGGGGGCTGTTCTCAGGGACCTGCACCTCATAGAGCGGCTGTAGGAACTGGGGGGAGTTGTCATTGATGTCCACGACTTCAATGCGAACTGTGGTGGTCCCAGACCTGGGCGGAGACCCTCCATCCACAGCAGTGAGGGTCAAAGTGAGCTCAGGCTGCTCCTCCCTGTCCAGGGCTCTGTCCAGCACCAGTTCTGGGTATTTCCTGCCATCAGCGCGACTGTGAGTGACCGCATGGAAATGGAGGTTGGGGCTGACAGTGTAGTTCTGAACAGCATTGCTCCCTATGTCAGAGTCCTGAGCTACCTTCAGAGGAAACACGGTCCCTGGCTGGGCGATTTCTTGAATTTTCAGGAGCATTTCTCTGTCAGGGAACTCCGGAGAATGGTCGTTTACATCTGTGATCTGCAGGTCTGTTTGGAAGAACTGCACAGGGTTATCCAGTATGAGTTGGAAGTGCAGCACACAGGGGTCTGTCGCCCCACACAGCACCTCGCGATCTGGCTTTTCCTTTAATAGCAAATTCCCGGTCTCTGCATCCAGCCCCAAGAGCTCTTTGTTTCCTCTGTGATGGATTCGTGCCCCTCTAGAGGCCAGCTCCCCCTCCCTGAGCCCCAGATCTCTTTCCAGGTTAGCCACCAAGTAGCCAGTCTCTGATTCTTCTGGCATGGAGTATCTAATTGCCTCGGTGCCAGACTCCCACAAAAACAACAACATAGTAAGAAAAACTACTTGCCTTTTTTCTGGCGTTTTTGTTAGATCTGTCTCCATTGTTCAGATGCAGTCCAGACGGTGCTGATGCCTCTAGTCAGTTTTAATCCACGCAGATAAGGTTTGGTGAAATAAGCTTGAATTAAATCCTACCGAATTGCTTACAGTAGTCCATTACCCTAGATCTTAAGTAAAAGGCCCCTTCTTTCAGGGAACAGTCAGCATTCTGCTTACCAGGGAGAGCTTCCTGAGCATCCGTGGAGCCCCTAGTTACACAAATTGTTACCCTGCAGCGCCACCGTGCGTACGATTGTAGTGTTGCACTTAGCGTTCACTCATGTTCCCAGTTCCAGCCTGGTGCGTTTAAACACCCTTGAAGATTCGGAACTACCCTTCATTGTATGCTCTATTCTTAGCATACAGTGTGTTCCAGCACATTTGGTTAGTTAATTTTCAGTGAATGTAACTTTTTAAATAATCAAAAGGGTATACTTGTCTTTATGAAAATTGTTTTGGATGCATAAATTCAATATAACAGATATCTACAAAATTTTGAATATTCCCAAATTACTCCTCACTGAAATAGAACATGCACATAAAAAAGGGCACAAGCCTTCAGTGTGCAGCACGACAGAGGGTCACCAAGTTAATACAGTCGAATGAACTGAATCTGGATGAATAAGCAGCACACACCCGAAGGGGAAAGGGTCCTCCTCTGCTCACGAGGTGCCTCTCTCTTCCTTAGGCACTACACTGGCTTTCATTGCAGCAGGATATTTTGCCTCTCTGAGACGTTTTATAAAGTATAACCAGTAGCATTTCTCTTCTGTAGGACTGTTCTTTTCTAACATTTCCTTTGGCATCCTTACTATGGTGTGCTGTGGTCATTGTTTTTTAACATTCCCCTATTTGCATGTGATATTATCTGCATGCATATACACCAGGTAAGGAACCCTGGGGATTTCTGGGTTTGTGCTTTTATTTGTTTGGTTGCTTCTAGTTTTGTTTTGTCTGCTTGTTTGGTTTGTTTTTTTTTTAACTTTTTATTTGGTTTGGCTTGAGTTTTTTTTTTTTACATAGAATTTCTCTGTATACCAGCTCTGGCTGTCCTGGCTCACTTTTTAGACCATGCTGACCCAGAACTCACAAAGATCTGCCTGCCTCTGCCTTCTAAGTGCTGAGATTATGGGCATGCACCACCACAACCAGCCCAAGTTTTTGAATGTTACTCCTATGAACAGTGCTTCACACATCCTATGTATAAAATATGCATATATGATATGTATCAGAATGATTTGCTGTGCGTCCAAGTGTGAGAATACACTTAGGTTTCTCAAATGCTGTGAAGTAGTTTTCAAAAGTAGTTGTCCTGAGCTGCCCCTGGTGGCTCACTCCTGTAGTCCCATCTCTGGGAAGACACACAAAGGGGTATCACAAACTCAAGCCCAGTGTGGGATATATCATGAATCACCATCTCAACTTTTCTTTAAAAGCTGGGGATAGAGTCGCAGCTCAATGATAGAATGTTTTCCTGGTGAACTCAGGGGATTTGGATCCATTCTCAGCAATGTGGGAAAATAATTGCAGCAACTCATGGGATTCCAGTTGTGTAATATGAATTCTTCCCTCTAGCCTGGTTCCTGAGCCACATCAGTCCCGAATGAACACACAGGATGATATATTAATTATGAAGCTATTGACAATTTGCTACATTTTCTTTTTGGCTTTTTTGGTTGGTTGGTTTGGTTTGGTTTGGTTTGGTTTTTGGTTTTTTGTAGTTTCTTATTTAAGATAGAAACAAGCTTGCTTCACATGTCAATCTCAGCTCCCTCTCTCTCCCCTCCTCACCAACCCCAACCCAATCCCCCAGACCCTCCCCCATCCAATCCCCACTTTGGTCCCCAGGGAGACCCTCTCTGGGGGATTTCCAGAGTCTGTCATTTCATACAGGGCAGGTGTTAGGCTCTTCTCCATGTGTCCAGGATGAGAGAGCATCCCTCAGTGTGGAATGGGCTGCCAAAGTCCATTTGAATGCCAGGGATAAATACTGATCTACTACCAGAGGTCCCATAGATTGCCAAGGCCTCCTCATTGACACCCAAATTTAGAGGGTCTGCATAAGTCCCATGCTTTTTTCTCAGCCATCATTCTGGGGTCCAAGAACTCCCCCTTGTTCAGGTTAGCTGTTTCTGTGGGTTAAACCAGCCCAGTCTTGACCTCTTTACCCATCAGTCTTCCTTCTTTGTCACTGTGTTCCAGGAGTTCAATTCAGTGTTTAGCTGTGGGTGTCTGCCTCTTATTCCATCAATCATTGCTTGAAGGTTCTAGGATGGCATATAAGGAAATCGTCAAATCAAGGAGAGGCATTTAAGGCACAGTCTCCCCACTATTGCTTAGTTTGCCAGTTGGTGTCATCCTTGTAGATCTCTGGAAATCTCACTAGTGCCAGATCTCTCCTCAAACCTATAATGACTCCCTCTATTATGGTATCTCTCATCCTATTCTCCTCTATTCTTCCCCCGACTCAAACTTCCTGCTCCTCCATGTCCTCCTCTCCCCTCCTCTTCTCCCTCTTTCTTTTTCCTAGCTCCTACTCCCGTCCCCCCATGCTCCCAATTTGCTCAGGTGATCTTGCCTCATTCCCCTTCTCTGGGGTACCATGCATATGTATCTCAGGGTCCTACCTGCTTCCCCGACTCTCTGGCAGTGGGATTGTAGGCTGGCATTCCCCTGGATTCATGTCTAAGATCCATATATGAGTGAGTACATACCATGTTCATCTTTTATGAATGGGTTATCACACTCAGGATGGTTTCTTCTAATGCCATCCATTTGCCTGCAAATTTCAAATTTCCGTTGTATTTTTCTGCTGAGTAGCACTCCATTGTATAAATGTACCACATTTTCTCTATCCACTCTTCAGTTGAGGGGCATCTAGGTTGCTTCCAGGTTCTGGATAATACACATAATGCTGCAATGAACATAGTGGAACAGATATCCTTGTTGTATGAATGTTCATCTTTTGGGTATATGCCTAAGAATGGAATTGCTGGATCTTGTGGTAGACTGATTTCCATTTTCCTGAGGAATCTCCGTACTGATTTCCAAAGTGGCTATACAAGTTTGCACTCCCACCAACAGTGGGGGAGAATTCCCCTTTCTCCATATCCTCTCCAGAATAAACTGTCAATGTTTTTCTTTAATTTTAGCCATTCTGACAGGAGTAAGATGGTATCTCAGAGTTGACTTGATTTGCATTTCCCTGATGGCTAAGAATGCTGAGCACTTTCTCAAGTGTCTATCAGCCATTTTAGACTCCAGTGCTGAGAATTCTCTATTTAGTTCTGAACCCCACTTTTTAATTGGATCCTTTGGTGTTTTGGAGACTTGCTTCTTGAGTTCTTTGTAAATTTTGGAAATCAGCCTTCTGTCAGATGTGGGGTTAGTGAATATCTTTTCCCATTCTGTGGGCTGCCTTTTTGGCTTCTTGACTGTGTCCTTTGCCTTACAGAAGCTTATTAGTTTCAGGAGGTCCCAATTATTAATTGCGGATCTCCTGTACCAATTCATTCAAGAGTACCTCCCACTTTCTCTTCTAAGAGGTTTAGTGTGGCTGGATTTATGTTGAGGTCTTTGATCCATTTGGAATTAAGTTTTGTGCACGGCGATAGACATGGATCTATCTGCAGTCTTCTACATGCTAATAACCAGTTATGCCAGCACCATTTGTTGAAGATGCTTTCTATTTTCCATTGTATAGTTTTAGCTTATTTGTCAAATATCAGGTGTTCATACATGTATGGGTTAATATCAGGGTGTTCAATTTGATTCCATTGGTCTACCTGTCTATTTTTGTGCCAATACCCTGTTTTCAGGACTATAGCTCTATAATAGAGCTTGAAGTCAGGGATGGTGATGCCTCTGGACATTGCTTTGTTGTTTCGGCTATCCTGGGTCTTTTGTTTTTCCATATAAAGTTGAGAATTGTTCTTTCAAGGTCTGTGGAGAATTGTGCCGGTATTTTGATGGGGATTGCATTGAATCTGTAGATTGCTTTTGGCAAGATTGCCATTTTTACTATGTTGATCCTACCTATCCAAGAGCATGGGAGATCTTTTCATCTTCTTTAACTTCTTTTTTTTAGAGACCTAAAGTTCTTGCTATACAGGTCTTTCACTTGTTTGGTTAGCATTATCCCCAGATATTAAATTTTATTTGTGGCTATTGTAAAGAGTGATGTTTCTCTGATTTCTTACTCGGCCCATTTATCATCTATATATAATAGGGCTACTGATTTTTTAGTTAACCTTGTACCCTGTCACTTTGCTGAAGATGTTTATCAGCTGTAGGAGTTCCCTTGTAGAGTTTTTTGAGTTACTTATGTAAACTATCATATCCTTGCCGGGCGGTGGTGGCGCACACCTTTAATCCTAGCACTGTGAGTTTGAGGCCTGGCTGGACCGACAACCTCCAAAAGAATACAGAGAATCCCTGTCTCATAAAACAAAAAAAAACTATCATATCCTCTACAAATAGTGAAAGTTTGACTTCTTCCTTTCCAATTTGTATCCCGTTGATCTCTTTTTGTTTTGTTTCTTTTTTTTTTCCGAAACAGGGTTTCTCTGTATTGTTTTGGAGGCAGTCCTGGAACTTGCTCTGTAGACCAGCCCGTCCTCGAACTCACAGAGATCCACCTGCCTCTGCCTCCAGAGTGCTGGGATTAAAGGCGTGTGCCACCAATGCCCGGCTTCCTTTTGTTGTCTTATTGATCGAGCTAGAACTTCAAGTGCAATATTGAAGAGATATGGCAAGAGTAGACAGCCTTGTCTTGTTCTTGATTTTAGAGGAATTGCGTTGTTTCTCTCCATTTAGTTTGATGTTAGCAGTTGGTTTACTGTATATTCCTTTTATTATGTTCAGGTATGTTCCTGTTATTCCTGATCTCTCCAGGTCCTTTATCTTGAAGGGGTGTTGGATTTTTTCTAGTGAGATGATCATATGATTTTTGTTTCTCAGCTTGTCTATATGGGGGATTACATTGATACATTTTTGTATGTTGACCATCCTTGCATCCCTGGGATGAAGCCTACTTGATCATGGTGCATGAGTTTTCTAATGTGTTCTTGGATCCCATTCTCCAGTATTTTATTGAGTATTTTTGCATCAATGTTCATGAGGGATATTGGTCTGAAGTCCTCTTTCTCAGTTGTGTCTTTGTGTGGCTTAGGTATCAAGGTTATTGAAGATTCATAAAAAGATTTTGGCAAA